AGTACTTAACAGAAATAGCTTTAGCAATCTCTAAACAGTTGCAAAATCTTCAAGAAGCAATCTGATTTGCAGTTTCTACTTAATTTTCCACAGTAATTTGCAAGGCATTCAAAGAAACTAGGGAAGTGTATCCTAGTCACAGGGGAGAAGCACTGGCTAGAACCATCCCTGAAGTCATACAGATGTTAGAATTCTAGACTTAAAATCTGTTGTCTTAAACAGGCTCAGAGAGTGAAGGAAAACTATGGACAAAGGAAAAAGCACCACAGCATGTGAACAAGTGGAAGATCTGAGGAAAAATGGGAAACAAAACAGTGAAAATGAAAGACTACAAAAATTTAATAACAGATTTGAGCAAGTGAAGAATGACTGAGAGAGGGCTGGGGATGTAGCTCAGTTGGTAAAGTGTCTACCTAGTATGCACAAAACCCTGAATTTAATTCCTAGCTCTGCATAAAACTGGGCACCATGGTGTATACCTGTAACCCTGGCACTTGGGAGGTAAAGGCACGAGACCAGGAATTCAAGGTCACCCTTTACTACATTACAAGATTAAGGCCGACTTGGACCTACATGAGATTTTTGTCTCAAGAAAAGAATGACTGAGATTTTGAAGATTGGTGAATTAACATCGAATTGGAAAAATGGGGGTGGAAGGGAGAATAAAGAAAAGTGGGCAGACCCTAGGGGACCTGTGGTGTTTTCAAATGTCCCTCACAGGCTAATATATTTATAGACTTGTTCCCATTACTGTGTTTGGGTGTTTGGAAGTTATGGAACTTTGAGAATATAAAGCCTTTGAGGAGGAAGTATGCCACTGGAGTGGGCCTTGAGATTTTATAGCCTCACCCCACTTCCAGTGGTCTTTTTCTGCTTGCTTTGTGTGGCCAAAATGTGATCAGCCAGCTTTCTGCTCCATCTGCCTACTTCCATCATGCCTCCCCTGCCATTACAGGCTTATAAGCCAGAACAAATTCTTTGTTCCATAAGTTGCTTTGGTCATGAGTTTTATCATAGCAACAGAAAAATAACTAATATAGGACCTGTGGCACATTATTTTGTATATTCTTGAAAGGGTACAAAAAGGGAACAGAGGCTTTTGAAAAAATTATGGCTGAGGGGCTGGAGAGATGGCTCAGCGGTTAAGAGCACTGACTGCTCTTGCAAAGGACCCAGGTTCAATTCCCAGCACCCACATGGCAGCTAACAACCATCTGTAACTCCAGTTCCAGGAGATCCGATGCCCTCTTCTAACCTTCTCAGGCATTGCACGACACAGGTGCACTTAAACACATGCAGGCAATATGCTCATGAAGACAAAATTTTTAAAAATAATAAATATTGGGGCTGGAGAGTTGGCTCAGCGGTTAAGAGCACTGACTGTTCTTGCAGAGAACCCGGGTTCGATTCCCAGCACCCACAGTTCCAGGGGAATCTGAAGCCCTCTTCTGACCTCCTTGGCATTTTTTAAAATAATAAATATTTAAAAATAATGACTGAAAACTTCTCAGATTTAAGGACATGAATTTATGCTGAATGAACTATAAGAAAGATAAGGTGAAAAAGGTTCAAGAAATACCAGAGTCAAACTTCTAAAAGCCAAGCGCAAATAGAGATGTTGGGGGGCAGGGGCTCAGGATATTTGCTCTTTTTGTTCATTCTCAGTACTGTGAATTAAACCAGGGTCTTACTGGAGCCTGGAAACTGCTCACCTACTAAGCTAGAGTCTCAGCCCAAATAGAGAACATCTTGAAAGCAGCAGGAGACAACCCAACCCCCAAAGAGACATATGACTTCAGTAGGTATTTCTTCAGGAAAATGAGCTAGTGGTTAGCAACAGTAGAAGTCTGCGATGTCATTAGTAATTAAAGAAATGCAAGTCAGACCTGTAAGGTACCATGTTATACCTGTTAGGGTGACATACCAAAATGCTTATTTGTTCTTTTTTGTGTGTGTGCATGATGTGTTCTTTATGTGTTGTGTGTGCATATATGTGTGTCTTCCTCAGTTGCTCTTTTTTTTTTTTTTTTCAAACACTCGTGTGTGTCTGTATATGTGCCCACACATGGCTTGGGGAGTTTAGAGGACAACTTTCAGGAGTCGAGAGTCAATTCTCTCCCTCTACCATACAGATCCCAGGTCAGGTCTCAGGGCACTTGCCTCCATTTACTGAGCCATCTTGCCAGCCCACCACCTTATTTTTTGAGACAGTGTTTATCATTAAACCTGGAGCTCATCAATTCAGGAAGACGAACTGACCAGGAAATTCCAGGGATCCTTCTGTTTCTGTCCCTCAAATATTGAGGTTATAGACGTGCACTGCCACACTTGGCTTTTACATGGTGCTGGGGACCTGAATTCAGATCATCATATAAGCACTTTACCAATTGAACTATATTCCCAAACCCATTTTTACTTGTTTTTTAAAAAAGAAATGATCCAGACTAGGCATGGTGGTGCATACCCATAATCCTAGCTACTCAGGAGGCAGAGGCAAGTAGATCTCTGTGAGTTGGAGGCTAGCCTGGTCTACATATTAAGACCCTAGTTTAAAAAAAAAGAAGAGCCAGGCATGGTGGTGCATGCCTTTAGTCCCAGCACTCGGCACTTGGGAGGCAGAGGCAGGAGGATCTGTGAGTTCAAGGCCAGCCTGGTCTACATAGTGAGTTCCAGGCTAGCTGGGTCTACAGGGAGACCCTATCTCAAAAAGACCAAAAAAGAAGAAAGAAACCCCTGAAAAGGACTTCCCATTATTTTTGTATAGTAAAGCAGAAACAGGGACAGACTCATAGGATGTCAGCTGCTTATACAGAGGGTGTCCCTGAGTCTTCCTGTTGAATATCAGCTCAGCAGACAACAGCCAGCCTCAGTTCAGCCTTCTCTTCCTGTCCTGCCCATGGAAACACATCCTCTATGGGCTATATCCTGCCTAGTTCACAGTCTGCTTGTCAAAGAACCAGCTATAGCTTCTCAGTCCCCATCCAGTACCACATTCCCAGGGTAGCTTCCTTTTTTGGTATAGGCCCATTCTGGCCCTTTAGTCATGTTCTTTTGAATGTAAAAATAGGAGACTTCGCCTTGGCACTTGGGAGGCAGAGACAAGCAGATCTCTGTGAGTTCAAGGACAGCCTGGTCTACATAATGAGTTCCAGGATAGCTGGGGCTATAGGGAGACCCTGTCTCATAAAAGACACCCCCCCCAAAAAAAGGAGACTTGCTAACTCTCCCATGGAATATCAAACAGTTTTTGAACATTACAACAGTGTTGAATTGGAAGCGTTCATTTCTTTTTCTTTTTTTTTGTCTTTTTTTTTTTTTTTTTTTTTTTTTTTTTTTTTTTGGGGGGGCCCAAGTGCTGGGATCAAAGGTGTGTGCCACCATGTCCAGTTTATTGTTTTTGTTTTTTGAGACAGGGTCTCGCTATGTAAACCAGGCTGGGATCAAAGATATGCACACTACCATGCCTAGCAGTTGGAAGCAGTCTTCATATAGTCATTGTTATTACCCTTTCTTCCCCTACCACATCCATTATTATTTCAGGTTGTGGCAAGAAAACAAACAAATATATCCTCTCCCCAAGCCTTTGGGAAAGGACTGGAAAGTCAGTTTTCTCCATCATCTTACACAGTGAGTTTAAGACAGAGAGTCTTCTGTAGCCCCAGCTGGCCTAGAACTCACTATGTAGAACCAGGCTGACTTGGATCTTACAGATCCTCCTGCCTCTGCCTCTTGAGTGCTGGGATTAAAGGTGTGCACCACCATGCCCAACTAGAGAATATTTGTACTGTAGAAATTGAACTTAGTTTTACACACTTTTCCAATTGGAAATTGTGTCATCAGAACCTTGAGTCTTGCCAAGCAACTTTAAGAAGTGTCTTCACGGTTGCTCAGTAACCAAAATCATCAATATGTGTGCTACTCTAAGCTGGCAGTAATAATCTCACTTTAAACTTGGTCTCCCTATTCAACAAAACTGAGAAGACATTTGTTCTTTTGTAACTTGAACTGTGTATACATTCTATTAAAGCTAAATTTCTGCTTTTCTTCATTTCAGGCCACTGACAGGTTGGACCCTAAGTACACAGCAGTTAGTTGTCTAATGTATTTTCCTAGTTTTAGATGCATGGTCTGGCATCTGAAGAGTAAACTGTAGCAATGTCTAAATATTTGAAGTTGAGCAGTTCCTGCCCACACTCACCTCTAGATTGTAGCAGGTCCTCCTGGACTCTTAACACTGGGTTCCTGCCTGAAGGTGTGGAAAGACATGGGCCCTAGCTTTCAGCTAGCCTTGGTTGTTGTGACCCTGCATGCCTCCCCTTCCTCTGCCTTCAAGGCCCTCAGGGTAACCGAGACAAGTGGAAAGTATGGCTTTGTTGTTAGCCACAGCACCACAAAGTACCAGCACAACAGGAAGCTGTGATGGTTCTAGAAACGGTATCCACTGGAGGGAACTGTGGCATCATAGGCTTTTGACATAAGAAGCAAGCTCTATCAACAGGGAAGTCATAGACTGGCGAAAGGACTACCCTCCCCTATGCTAAGTATTCAGAAGTATATAAGATATGGGCTACCAGTTCTATTATCCAGCTTTGAATGAATAAAGCTCAATTTCGGGAGATGCTGGTTTTCTTCCCTCCATTGTCAGTCTGTGGGATTCTGAGAGCAGAGAAGTTGTTTTTCTAAATTTTAAGTGTCAGGCTTTGTGCCAATGGGGCTTATATCTTCTCTAGATTCCAAAAACACCATGAGAATGTTGTTTTCCCAAATTAAAAGTGAGGACATGGAGTTTCCAGGCAATTGGGAAATTTTCCCAAGGTCATACAATCAATAACTTTTGAGCCTGGGTCTTAGACTCTAAAACATAGGCTCTTTTCACAACTTGAAAGTCACCAAAAGCCACAGGCAATCATTGTGCGTGGAAAAAAAATACTTAATGGCCATAATATTTTTCTTTGTACTTCATCTTTCCTGCCAGCTCTAATTGTGTTTTCTTTTCTCAGTGAAGAAAAAATGACTGCCGCTCGCATTAGAAAATGCCACAAGTGTGGGACCGGCCTCATCAAATCTGAAGGCTGCAACCGGATGTCTTGCCGCTGCGGTGCCCAGATGTGCTACCTTTGTCGGGTTTCCATCAATGGCTATGACCATTTCTGCCAGCATCCTCGATCACCAGGAGCCCCTTGCCAGGAATGTTCAAGGTGCTCCCTCTGGACCGACCCCACTGTAAGTAACTTCATAGCCGTCCATTTCCATATAGGGAAAGATATTCTGTATATACATGAAAGGTACTGACTCATGGAAAAATACAGGAAATTGCATAGACCAATAACCACAGGAAAAACTAAGAAAGAAATCAAAAAACTACTCATCAAAAAATGAGCCAGGTTTGTTGGGGCATGCCCTGTGGCCTGTTAACTCAGGAGGCTGAGGTAGGAGGATCACTTGAGACCAGCCTGGGCAACAGAGAGACCCCATCTCAAAGTTTTATGGGAAAATTGTTTTAGTCCTTTAGGTAATAAGCTTTTTCTCTACTGTCTGAAGTATCCATAGAGCAGCAAGGAGAGTTGCTGGTAGCACAGTGCTCCCACCAAGGCCTGACAGAGCCAGAGTCTCATGAATCTGACAAGTGCAGGGTTTTATTTCTTGAAGTAAATACTAGCAAATAGAAAAGAAGACCAGGCTGTGCACAATGGCGCACATCTGTAATTCCAAGAGGATTACCAGTTTAAGGCAATCCTGGGTTATGTAGAGGGACCCTGCGCCCCTCCCCCCCCCAAGAAAAAAAGCATAACCAAATAAATAGATAAGTAAATAAATAAATAAATTCTAGTTTTAGAAACATAGTGCATTCTAAGTCATGGGTAGTTTACTGTAGGCAGCCCAGTTAATGTAATTCATCATATTGATGTGGTCAGATGGTAAACAGACATTTAAGGGAGTCAAACATTTGTTCTTGATTTTAGCTTTGAAAAATAGTGTTAGAGTGCTTGCCTGGTAGCGTGCAAAAGACCATCTGCTCACTCTCCAGTGCTACAAAAGTATAAAATGGCCTTAGAAGACATAGCTCAGTTGATAGAGTGCTTGTCTAGCATGCATGAAGCCCTGGGTTCCTTAGTACCACATAAATTGAGTGTGATGGTTCACACCTATAATCTCAGCAGTTGGAAGGTAGAATCAAGAAGATAAGTTCAAGGTTATCCTCAAATACAGTAAATTCTAGGTCTCCTTGGGCTACATGAGATCCTGCCTCCAAAGGTGGGGGTGGGGGGAACCAGTTATGGTAGTTCACACATGTAATCCTAGCACTCAGGAGGCTGAGGTAGAGGTAGGAGGATTGCCTGAGCTACATGAGACCCTGTCTCAAAACCACAAAAAGCCATATTATGTCATTAAAGAGATGGCAGATTCATTCACTTCAGTTTGGGTTGGGTTTGTTTTGTTATTGTTGTTAATTTGGGGGGGTGTTTTATCTATTTGAGCATATTGCCTGCATGTGTGTAGGTGCACCAGTGTCATGCAGTGCCTGTGGAGGTCAGAAGAGGGTGTTGGATCCCCTGGAACTCGAGTTAAGGACAGTTGTGGGTGCTGGAAATCGAACCCAGGTCCTCTGCAAGAGCAACCAGCACTCTTAACCACTGACCTATCTCTCCAGCCACACGTGTGTGTGTTTGTGTGTGTGTGTGTGTGTGTTGCCTGCATGTATGTAAGTGCATGTATCCTTGTATGCAATAGCCACAAGGCCAGAAGAGAGTGGTGGGTGCCCTGGAACTATAGTTAATAACAGTTGCTAGCCATCATGTGAGTGCTGGGAACTGAGCCCAGGTCCTCTACAAGAGCAGCCAGTGCTACCTTTGTTGGTTTTCCATCTTAACTACGAGGTCATCTCTTCAGCCCCAATAGTTAGTTTAGTTTTTAAGGCTAGGTCTCATATAGCCCAGGCTGACCTGTACCTCACAAGTGTTGGAATTATAGATGTCAGTTACCTCACTTGGCCATTTTTTTATTCACTTGGCCATTTTTTTAATTCTTAAAAAAAAAAAAAAAAAAAAAATTCCCAGTTGCATGACTTTTAATTCCAGCACTTGAGAGGCAAAGGCTGGCGGACCTCTGTGTTGGCCTACATAGCGAGTTCCAGGCCAGCTGGGACTACAGTGAAACCCTATCTCAAAAAAAAACAAAAAGAGGCTGGGCATGGTGGTGCCTGCCTTTAATCCCAGCACTTGGGAGACAGAGGCAGGTAGATCTCTGTGAGGCCAGCCTGTTCTACCTAGTGAGTTCCAGGACAGCTGGAGATACAGGGAGACCTTGTCTCAAAAAAGACAAAAAAGTAAAACAAAAAACAAGAACAACAACAAAAAAAAAGATTTATTTTATGAGTATGAATGTTTGCCTATGTGTATGTACATACACCACATTTTATGCCTGGTGCCCAAGGAAGCCAAGGAAGCCAGAAGAGAACTTCTGATCCCTGGAACTGGAGGTGTAGGTAACCTTGTGGGTGCTGGGAAACCTAACTGGGCTCCTGCATAAGACCAGGGCTTTTAACTGCTGGCCCATCTCTCTCTCCAGCTCCAGCCTCCCATTTCTTCATTCTTTTTTGTGTTTTTGAGACAGGGTCTCCCTGTAGCCCCAGCTGAGCTGTCCTGGAACTCCCTATGTAGACCAGGCTGGCCTCAAACTCACAGAGATCTGCCTGCCTCTGCCTCCCAATTGCTGGGATTAAAGGCGTGCGCCACCACGCCCCGGCAATGTAATTCTTAAAAAGTTAGCAAAAGCTGAGTTAACATAAGAACAGTTGCTTTAATCCCAGCACTCAGGAGGTAGAGGCTGGTGGATCTCTGTGGGTTCAAGGCCAGCCTGGTCTACATAGCAAGTTCCAGGCCAGCTAAGGCTACGGGAGACCCTGTCTCAAAAAAGATTAAAAAAAAAGAACAGTTGCCTAGTGCGTGTGGAAGGACCTGGGTTCAATTCCTAGCACCCAAAAATAAAAGGAAAACGTCTGTCTAAATAAGCTACAAATGTCATTCTGCCTCCCTTGTGAGTGCAGTGTGGACAACCCAGGAACAGGAGAGCAGCTCTACCAGGAGCCAGTTCCTTCCAGCATGCTCCTCCACCACCTCTGGAGCCTCAGTCCTTTGGATCCCTTGTAGCTAGGGGTTAAAAGGATCATCAGTAAGCCTGTCTAGTTCTCCCTAGAATGTTGTGTTTACAGATAGACACTGCATCAGGTCACTTCTTTGGTCTCATTAGCCCATGTGGCCTCAAACAGCACGAGAGGTAGGAACTTTGCACATATTTCAGGTCAGGATGGACCTAGGTCATCTCCCCTTGGTGTGGGACAGACAGATGTTCTCTGCTGGGGAGTCTACTCAGTCTACTCCCTCCCACTGGAAAAGATAGACAAGCTTAGTAAAAAGAACTCCAGGTAGGTAGAACAGCTTATGCTACATGCAGGTTCCCAGTCAGATCAGAAATTGAAGTACATATTCATTGACCTACTGGTTTACTAACTAGAGGTCTTATACTAAAATACAATTGGACAAGTCCAAAAAGGTCTGTCTAAAAAACTGCTCCTTAGCTCTTTAAAGTGTGTAAGTTCAGAAACAACATTTAAATACCCCAAAACAAGATACAAGTTACATTTTATATATGCTCACATTAGAATAATATTAAAAAGAAAATCATGAGTCTCAAGTTTTTTCTCCAAATATAGAGAAGCAAACATGGAAAGACTGACACGTAGAAAAAGAACTGTATGGATCACTGGGGCCACAGACTAAGTTACCACAGGGCTAGCTGGCAACCAGAACTGGGGACTGAGGAGCCAGCACATTGTGGTGAGAGTGTAGAACATTACAGGGACTAGCTGCTGCTGAGCTTAGCAGCTTGTGGCTGGTCATGTGAGACTGTTTAGCATTGCTACTGCTCCCAGCTCTATAAAGGCTGGAAATCTATGCCTTAATGTAAACTCTTCTGGTTTAAAAAACTAACATTTGCCCAAATGTTTTAAACACTGTTCTAGTCAGCATTTTGTAAGCCAAAGCAAAGGCCTCTTTCTACCTCTGGTGTGAAGATCTATATTATACCTGCCACAAGATGCTAGGTCAATGGTTGACCACTCTGGTGGCCATGAATGGGATGGCCTGAAGGCTGGCTCGAATCTGTTAAAAATGGTGTGCCATCTTCAGAGCCATCATGGTGGGAAAGCAGTCATCCCTTTAGAAGCCAGGCATGCCTGCTCCAGGAACATTCTGTCAGGAACAGGCATCTACTGCTCACTGAGCCAGGAGCTGAGTTGAGGGTTGACTTCAGGGGTTATCTGGTCATGGAGCTCACAACCCAGTGAGACCCCCAGCAAACCTGCCCTCCTGTCTCCACGGTGGTCTGTGGAACAAAGGAGTTTTTGTGGGCAGAAAGCCTAGTCTTCTGTATTGTTGGTTGGGGGAAGGCACCCAGGAGGGAAGGGTTGCACCTTGGGTACTTGGGCAGCCCTTTGAGATAAGCCTTATGCAGCTCTTATCTATTGAGGTTCAGGAAGAGATAGGGTCTTTTCCCTCAACTGAGGCTTTTTTCTGGAGCCATGTTTCAGCTCCAGAAAAAGCACTATGGGAGTCACCATCCAAGGCCTGTAGTTTAGCCTCCTTGACCTGGTTTGTGCTCGGTACCACCATCACCCCCAAGTCCTATTCTCTGTGCCTCCACCGTCTTCCCTACATGAAACTCTGTAAAGGTTCCTCATGTCCTACATGTTGTCTGACTGCCATAGTGAGTACCTGCCCTAGTTTTCTTGTAGCCTGAGGAAGCTTCTGTAGTCACTCAAAGTTTGAAAAGGTCAGGCAATAGCAGTCCCTCCAATTTCCTTTGGTCACCATAGTAGAGATTTTGTTCCACATTGTCCCATTCCCATCAAACGAGGGATCAGCCTGGTTTCCTTGATTCTCACCAGGAGACCGATTAAATTCCACCCCAGCATCTGCTGAGTCCTCTGAGAACACAAAGCCATTCAGAAGTGCCAGAGACAAAGCTTGCACTGTCCTGCACTGGCCCCTGCTTCATTAAGCAGCAGGCGGGGAAGAAGCTTTGCGTTGTCAGCAGGGAATTATCCCTGCACGGCTTGGAATGAAGAGGAGTTTGAGCCCTTAATAACTAGGGTGGCTTGGGAGCCTGAATGAACTCTGCTGAGGGCTCAGATGACTAGCAGCCTCTTCAGTTCACTACCACGA